TTGATCCAAAATTATTGTTCCAACGTTTTAAAAATGTGTTTTACTAATATGAATTCTGATACACCCTGTATATATTTTGAAATTACACATCCTTACACACACACACACACACACACACTTCTCTTTCTATGCTTCAAAATATACTTCAAAATTAAATTACAACACTTAACAAAAATATTTATTTGTGATTCTAATCTCTAGGATGCATAAACAAATGCCGGCCATTCATATCGAGAAATCTGCAACTGTATATAATGAAAAATTAAGATAAAATGTAATAAATATGCAATTAATAATAGAAAAGATAAAACAACAAAAAGTACATATATATATATATATATATATATATATATTAATGAAATGATCTAAATATAAAAAGATATTTGAATTTTTTTTTGATAAAACTGCTGTTATCAACAAAAGAAGTTTTATAAATCAAATTTCATTTCATGAGCGAGAAAATAATAATTTTATATCGAGTGATATAAAAGGTATATCCTCTGCGTCGTTGGTCTTGATTCAAAATGTTCGAAATACGCATGGCAAGGCAAATGTCTGAATATCGATGGACTTGTTGCTAGATGCGAAACAGCGTCATGTTTGACGTTGGCAAAAGAACAATTGGCTAGTGGCGTCGTAAGCAATAAATCGCGCTCTCTTTATATTGTCGAATACACACGCACATACAATAAAATATTTTCGTACATGTCAATGGGTCCTGCGCCAAACTCGAGATTAATTTTAATTGCCTTCATTAGACGATATATTATTTGGCAATTATCAGAGATAAAATATTAATAGAAACGGAAGCGAGGAAGAATCCGTTGTTTCCTTTCGTATGCTTGTACGATCACATCAAAGAGCCTTACGATAAGGAGAGCCTAACGAGCATTTCTAGCGTTCACTGGCGCCCTTTGATCAGTTAAACTGCAAAAGCATCCTTGTCCATTGCCGCGTATACACGATGTTCGTTATACATATACAAGAACGCTATGTATTTGTTGTGTTACTTGCTGAATTTGCAATATATAATAAAGAAAGTCAAGGGAAGAATGATGACTCAAAAGGCAATTATAAAAAGAATGACTCTTCATATAATTAAAGATAATGATATTTTTTCGCGTGCTTTTCAAAAAAATAATTTTTTAAGAATAAATTCACTAGGTTGTCATTTTTTTAAACAATTTTTCATTATATTTGTAGTTCTATTAGAGAATAAACAGCATCAAGATAAAGACGACTACATATTTCTCTCCCTGAATGAACTCTTGCTTCTCTGTTGAATATTAAGTTAATAAATTGTCGTGCAAGACCAAATTGCGAGATTAGCGAAAAAGGTGAATATAATTATGAGAAGATGCTGAGCATCTTCTTGCACGATAGCTCGCTCAGCTCAAGTCTTTAGTATCATCGGAACCTGCAGAATTATCTATCCTTGTTCTGAAATTCTCTTGCTCTTCGTCTATCTTTTTACGTCCTTTTCTCTATCATGATAATCCGAGAAATCCTTTCTCTGATACTCCGAAATTTATATATTTTTCTCAATAATCACGTTTCTGCTCTATGAAATAAAGCTTATTACTGTGATAAATTTTAAGAATTTAATTCCCTTTAATTTGCTGATGTCTCGCTGATAAGAAACACGTTCGATTTGTGCCACATACAATTAAAATTTCGAAACGTTTATTGTCTTCCTTCACTCACGCAGCAAGACGAGTTCTCGTTATCGAAGTATAATCAAAATGTGTTGGCGCCTTTTTTAAAATGAAGCGTCAAGCAAAAATAATTTTAAGTAATATAAAATAATCGTACACGTTTACAATAACATGTAACATTTTTATATGATTCAAAGATAAGAACTTCGATTGAAATATTATTCCATCTCGAATATATTACGAAGTAATTTTTACTCCCTTTATATTTTAAATATTTTACATTTTTTTTTTTATTTTTAGTATAAGAATTTATTATAATTTCTTCGTATTAGTGATGAGATACTACATTAAAGACTTGTTCGCGCGACGAGAACAACGTAACGAGTTTCAGAGTCCTTAGTTGTAGTTGACCCTTTAATAAGGGAAATGACAAAGTTCGATGAAATTCATAGACGACACAAGACTTAAGCTCTGTTACATCAAAGTTCAATTACGCTTGATGCACAAAAGTTATCTTAAAGATCATGGAATTGTATTATCATTGCCGAGCTTTCTCGTTCGATTGCTTTGAATTACATTTCGACGGAAGAAATATAAAATATGGTATACTTTTTAAAATAACTTTTATAAATATAAGTTCACTGAGTTGTCGTCTCTCAAAACATCTTTCCATTATTTGCAACTCTATTGGAGCATAAACATTACTTTGTCATGCTAAAATGCATAATATATAATAAAACTTTTTCATCTCGAGATATACTAGATAAACAAATAAGGCAATATTTATTCAAAAAAGGAAAAAAATCTCTTCTACACTTTAAAATTTAAATATTTTTCGCTTCTTATGTATGCGATTTTTTTTCTTCTCTACTATCATTATCAATCAGCTTATTGAGTGCTGCATTGTTGGACATAGACTTCTCGTATAAATCTCCAGTCTATTTTATGTTACCTGCATTCAGTTTGTTTGTTGTTTGCTTGCTTTAAATCATCTGTCTATCTTGTTAAAGGTAGTCGTTCTTTATTCGTGATAAATTCATGTTATTGGAGAAATCTCCATTCTAGTATTTTCTCGGTCCATCTTCCGTCAATCATTCTGACAACGTGACCTGCTCAATTCCATTTCAAGGTAGCAATCTTTTTTATTACATTCTGGACGTCCTTTCTTTTTCTCGTCATTTTGTTTGGTACTCTGTCTCTAAGATAACTCGAACATTGGCCTTTTCATTGCCAACTGACTTGTATCTTGGTGACTGATTTTTTATCAATATTTTTTACACCATAGATTAAAACGGCACAGATTGATTGTACGTTCGAGACACATTTGGACATATTTCATTTAAAAATATATCTCCAAAAAGTTAATTCTTCATGGTTTCATTTAATTTAATATTATACGCTCGCTGCATTTAATTCAAAAACAAAAATTTCAAAAACTATAATACTTTTAAAAATGTAAAAGAGTGAAAAATAAAATAAAAATCAGAAAAATAAAAATTGATATTTCCACTACATTACTTTTATTGAAAAAAGTAAGTAGTTTTTTATTCTATTTCCATAAAGAATTAAGAAGAAAAAATTGTCCGCTATAAAACTTTGGGAAAAAAAATTTTTTTTACCAACCTCAATATAGATACATTTCATTGTACAGGTGCACTGTGAAAAATTGAAATGCCTCGCGTGGAACTGTTACACGATATTGGTTTCTCGTACCGAAATTTCATGCGTGCTCGACCTGAATGGACGGTTCTGTGGCGAAATAAGACAGATTGGGAACGACAACTGTTTCCAGACAATTACACTTGTCCTCGCGGAATATTAAACTATACTCGAATAAAGTGGCATTTCGAACGAAACATCTGCTGTTCGAATAATAGAGCCTACAGCGGGAGAAAATAATGGCGGGAAGAATAACGCGGAAAACATTCGCGTACATCCGTCCGCCAGACAATCAAATGTATAGATCGCACCGAAAACTATGTCAAATGAGTGGTCCTATAGCACTGTGTGCATCCGCACGTAACAATTAACGCCAACGATCGCTTGTATCGCTACTTTCCGCTCCACTACGTTTGCCATTTCATAAATACCGCATGAATCTTGAATAATGTCTATTAAATTCTTATTTATTATACTACAATAGTGTGTGTATGTATATAAATATTAAAAGTTTTAAGAAAAAATTGAATAGGGATTGCTAGTTTCATCTCCTTATAACAATGCAAGAGGCTGGAATAAATATTAATAAATAACCCCTTTTTACTAATAGAAAATATTCACCTAATTTCATTTCTTTAACTTGTTCCAAATTTGAGAAAAAAAATAAAAATCTAATTTTTATCCCCATTTTTGAAGGAGTGTATAACTCCACAGGGAGGGATGTGGGGAATATATGTTTATATGAAAAACTCTTAATTTCAACAAAGAATCATCTCCTAAAATTTGTCGAACTTATTAAGAAACACCCTGCATATTTCATATACTTAATTTTATTCAATAAAATTTTATTGGATTGTTCAAATAATGTGCCATCTAACTTGATAAAATAACTTCCGTTATGCTTAGATATAAAATATTTTTGAAACACGGCGAAATACGAATCGCATCGTTTAAATACGAGTAGATGCAATGGAAGCGAGCTTCCAGAATGGAACTTTTCACATTAACAAGAGGTACAGGGGCGATATCAGGTACGAGTACTACCGTGCGGAGAAATAGTTATGTACATCGCAGACAATGTAAATTAAAGTTCTCAGGCATCTCTTGCAATTACTGTTTTGTCAGAGTTTTAGTATTTGCCGAGTGGTATTTCCCTCTAAAGCTTTCCACGCGAGTTCTTTGCCTCTCTACTTTTTTTTAACTATGAAAAAATATTTTTTATAAAATTTCTCGCTTAAATATATTGTCAAGCTCTTAAGAAAAAAGATTAACAAGTATTACAAAATTAATTAATTAATTAATTACATAATTATTACAAAATATTAATACTTATAATTTATACACATAATATGTGTTTGTGTAAATTATTATTATTAATTATATGAATATTATTTGCATCAACTATATTCGAAGGGATTGTGTTACCATGATTTATTACCTTTGCATCAATAATATTATTATTCAAATAAAATTAATTGTTATTTATAAAAATTGACAGTAAAATAATAGTTATAAATGATAAAGTTATAATAAATAGTTATAAAGTTATAATAATAGTTATAAATGATAAAGTTATAATAATTTATATATATTTAAAAGATATAAATTATTTTTTGATGACTAATTATGCATATATAATTCATGCGCGATTAATTAGAGAAAAATCGTTAAAATTTTATATCTTACCTTGCGAATTTTTGTCCTTTTTCTTACGCCGATGCCTCTTTTTTTGTATTTCCTCGATATAGTTCGAAGATGAAGAATCCTCGTGGCCTGGAAACTCGCTGGTTTCAGTCACCGATTTTCTCATCTCCTCCTGTCGTTTCTTCAACAGTTCGTAAACTCTCTTAAAGTAGTCCTTGGTGATATCCTCGTTCGATTTATTCGCCAGCGAACCTTCGCCGTTCAGATAGCCGAAATCACTGTCGGAATTGTTGCCGTCATTTATTTTCGTGTCAGAACCATTCGCGTGTTCCTTCAGCTCCTCGCTTCCGTCGACGATCTTGAAGGTGTCGCTTTTCTTCACATTCGAGTGTGCGTATAACTCTTGATAATTCTTGAAGGCATTTTTCGATAGATTTGTGTCGTACGCAAAGTTTGGAGATTTAACATTCAATACAGACACGCTGTCGATATTATTATCGCGATTGTTTACTTGAGTCTCTGGGATGATTGGCGATCGACTGTCCTTATTCTTCCTTTCGGGGAGCAAATAATTCTCCTGCAAACTGGTACCAGGTTTGCTGTTGTTTGTCGAAGTCTCGTCTTCGGGAAATTTGGCGGGTTTTTTATCCATCAACAATTCTTCGCTCTCTTGATGAGGTTTCTCGTGAAGTGGATTCACGCAGTTTCTCAAGTTTTGGCAAATCTTGCAGTTGCGCGAGGAGCAGAGATCGCGTTGCAGATCCTTCCATCTCGGTTTACTCATGAAGTCCTCCTCGGGCAATTCTCTCTCCGATTCTCGGCGATATTTCTCGCTTTTTTTCCGCTCTCTATATTCCCGCCAAGATCTCTCCACATTTTCTTGGCTTTTTATACGTCTGGGAGAATTTGCGAGGTTCTCATCGCTGACCATCGGCATCACCTCCGCCTCCTCTTGCCCCAAGAGAATGTCGCTCTTGATTTTACAGTAGAATTTCCTTCGTTCCAAACTCGACGATTCCCTCTTGACCCGCGACTTCGGTCGATTGTCCAGTTCCAGAGCTTCGACCAAGACTTCGCTTCTCGATCGTCGATAATTACGTGGTGGTTGTCTTTGAAGTTGGGAATCTCCCGACAATCCCCTGCAATTTGTCGATTTCTCCCTTTTCAGTTGCTTCTCGAACTTCAGCTTCTCTCTTTCGAGCATTTCGGGATCGAATCGCAGGATGCTCGTCTCACTACGCACCTTTCGCGTTCTGTAGTTTTTCCGATTGTTCTCGTAATTATAGTCCGAGTATCTTTTTTTTATTCTGACGTTCTCGATGCTCTCCGGAATGTCGGCATTAACGGCCGATCTCGAGCGCGACTGTTCCATATTCATTCGCCGCTGTATCTTTTCGCGTAAGAACGTTCTGATCTTTGTCAGCTCCTCCTCGTTCATGTCGTCTTTTATCTTGCGAACGGTTCTATCCCCCTCGTTCAGTTTGAAATTATTCTTCGCCGAATCCTGCATTGGAATTACGGCACTTCGAGTTCGCAGATACGGTTTCACCTTTTTGTTTTCTCGATTCGAATTCCTCTCTTCGGGATCGAGTATGTTGCCTTTGCTCGAGCTACGACTTCCGGGACTCTTCTCGCGGAATCCGATTCTAGTATCCTTCGTTTCCTCCCCGTCGTATTCTTCCTCGCGAACCAAGCTCAATAGAGTCTCGCTCTGGCTCCTTAGATACGCTTTAACTTTTTTACACCTGTCCTTGGCTATTTCCTCCGGAGTTCTCCCGATCGTATTACGCGTACGTAGATCGTTCATGATCTGCTGTCGAAGGTAATCTCCGGCGGAGTATTTCTTATTTCCTGTCACTCCTTCTATGTTTCCTTCGACCTTCGTCTTCATCGCCGAGTCTTCTGAGGTGGACAACTGCCTCTTGCTTCGTCTTTCTTTAATATCGACGTCGCTTCGGGACTTTCGCGGGGTGAAGCCGCACGTGCCAAATTTGCTGCTGAAGCCGTCGATATTCCGATTAACCTGACGCGGCGTCGTGATAGTGGAAGACATCGACGGGGAGGAGGACGTTTGCTCTTTGCTCGTCGAGTTGGCACACGACTCGTCGATCGGAAATTGTTCGTGGGTTTTTAGGCCCTTCTTGAAGGAACCTCTGGCCCGCTGTGCCGTTCGGCCGGTGGTTTCCACCAGCAGCCGGCCATCCTTGTCCAATAGCTGGATAACAGGCAGCGCGTCGGCGGACGTCGTGAGCTCCCACTCCCAGTGGAGCGGTTTCTGCAGCTTCAGTCGGATGATCGGCTCCGCCGATTCGCTGCCGAGGCCCGTGGAATCCTGACCAACCGGACTGGAAGTCGTCGCCCTGACGATGGGATGGGCGTTCTTCATGGTCCCGGTTCTTTCTCTCTCGTTTATTCGTTCGTTCTCGCTCGAGTAATCTGCCGGAAAAACTTACCCACTTGCTCGCCCGCTTGATCGTCCCGATTAATTCCAAACGAGTTTGTCGTCTGGAGTTCTTAACGGGTCCTGCCTTCTCTCGATGAATTTTATGAATTTCGTGGAAGATCCACGGTTGCGTTTCCAAGCGAAGCTTATTCACATTACTATATTCGTCGCGATGAATTTTTATTCCCTCGACGAAGCGAAATCAAAAATTATTCTAAAACAAGAAATACGTATAATTAATGCACGCTATGATTGACAAAAATAAAAATTTGCGTGCTCTGCGATCACAGAAGGATATCGAAGACACATCTTACGATCGTCGTTCGAAATGCAAGATACTGATCTGCGGATGAAGCGACCAGTCGCACGATTTAAAGTCGTCGTTCACTTGGCTATAACTTCCGAGTTAAAACTGCAGTCCCGTTTTCCAAGCTCCCGCGAATAGTAGCTGCGTACTTAGAGTATGCGCTCGCGCGTCGCGGCATTCGACTCGTTGAATTTGTCGTGCTATCATATGTATGGTCGACGACGACGAGCGCAGGCACGATTGCGAGACGAGTTGTCGATTTGTTCGTGTTGGCGAACGCGCAGTCCAAGTTCGCGCGTTACATCGCTTATGTAACGCGACTTCCCGTGGACTTGGCAGTCTATCAAATTCGCAGCGACGAAGACTCGACTTTCTTTCTTCGCAGGAAGGGGAGGCACACGTACACATACACACGGTTTCGCGTCACGTCTCATGTTGCGAGCAGATTCCTGGAAGATTCATCTTCCTCGCGTTCCATCACATCGCGTAATTTGCAAAAACAGACCGCTACACTCGCGAAATGATGTCACACGCGTGCATATGCGATGGTGTGTTTACATGCTCTGTATCTGTGTTGCTAATTACGTGGTAATTTAGCGGCAGTAATTATCTATGTCTTGATGTACGCAACCGATGTATATTTACATAACCAAGTACTCGCGATCAAATTTGAGCGAAATTTTCATTTTGTATTTATATTATATATACGTAAATAAATTTAATTCACTTTCTATTTTCAGTAATAAAAGGCGATGTGTATTTTATCGCGATCAAAAATATTTATTAAGTCAACAATAAATCGCGAATGTCAATGAGAATCGCAGACTCAATTTTTCAATATTCTAATATTAAAACACGTGCCTGCACATTTTCGAAAAATTTCAAACATAAACCACTCAAAAGGGAGAGAAGTAATTCTTTGATTTAATCGTAGATGAATAATTGTTCATAACTTGCTTCGTAACTGAATTCATTCGTTCGTTCGTCTGGAACTCGCGTGATCGATAGACTCGCGGTCGTTGCTTCTTGCGTGCGTTCGACACGTTCGATTTCGATCGATGGGTGTGTATTAATCGCTGCGTGACTCGTGCGAAAGGCAGCCGTGAACCTCACTGAGAAATCGACACAGTGAGAGAAGCGGATCTGGGGCTGTGCGGCGCGGCACTGCTATAAACGCGCGTGGTGGCGTCATACCGATCCGAAAATAAATCCCGCGGGATCTATAGGGTAGGGTGCAGGAATTCCGCCACGTGGAACGTGTCATGAATACCCGCTTATGTTTTCGTTATTCGCGCACAGGTGCGTGTACAAACGCGTGGATGATGCGTGGGCGTTTTTAGACGAAATTGTATTCATATTTACTGTGTACTGAGATTGTTACCCGAGATTAGTGAGAAAGATTTCAGATTGAAATTTTTATAAAGGGAAAAAAAAAGTTAAATTAAACTTGGAGAAGAAAATGTCATTTTGCGAAATGTCATAACTTTATAATTATTCTTTAGAGTGACATTTTACTTATTAAAGGCTTTAAAATTCTTACTTTGAAAAGGCTTTAAAATTCTTTCTGGAATTTAAGCATTTTTAAAAAATAACTTTATTATAGCTTTAATACTCATGTAGTAGTATTTGGATTCTATTCTGTAAAAGTGATTAATTATTATATTTATTATACCATATCAAAAAACAAACTACAAAACGTATCATTATAACATCAAAACAATAAATATTTATATCATGATAGAAATTTTATTCTTATTTAAAGATAAATTAAATAATTTGAGCTTAAAAAATATATATGAGGTTGATTTTGATGAACCAGGGTGATTCAATTAAATAAGTTATACATACGTACTGTTATAAAGTAATAGGCACAAGATTAATTTTAAATCCACACTGTTAGAAATTAGGTATTTACTCGGTTTAAATTCTATTTTTAATACTATGACACTTCAATGAGTAATACATATCTCAGGTATTTGATTTATTATTCTTTTACATAAATTTTTTAATTCTAATAAGATTGTATTTTGCATAAAAGTGTTGAAAGTTTGTTAATATAATTAATATGAAGAAATAAATAATAAATAAAATAAAAATTATGTATTTTCGTGATCAGAATAAACGGACCTATATTTTTTTATACATGACTAAATAAATATTAATTATCTTCAAATTTGTCAAAATTCTTAGATAAACATTCTCATAATTTTCATTCTTCGTACGAGTTTGTTTGCTAAACGTGGTCGATGAAGACTGACCAGTGGCTGCATTTGATGCATTTCAAGGATGGATCAATGCCCCGCAAGAAATTTGTTTACGATCGAGTGCGGGCAGACTCGACGGACACATATATATAGATATACAGATGCATGCAACGTGTGCAACGTGAAGCGTCATACATAGTCATTTGCCTCATATGTAGCGTCATTTTGATCATTTTTTTAATATTCTTTTCACTCGTCAAAAGCCATCGATCACGTTTATTATAAAATCGAATACTTGGCATTAAATCAGCTGCGAGAGTTTCAAAGTTTATATTAATATTAGAAACGGCAATATTTTTAAATCTACGTCCCATATACTGTGAATACTCAAGTAGGCAAGTAGTTGCTAGCAAGAGTTTCGGATTAGCATAATATTTCCGGACTCGCATCTCCTTCAGGAACGTATATTTTTCGCGATTCGCGAGCTGCATTTCATTTCATATTTACGACGACCCAGAATGTTTAGCTCGACATGCATCTGCAGATGTGTGTAACCGAATGCCTTCGTGAAGCGAATCGCTTGTGAGTTGAGAAATAATTCAACGATGGAAAAATACGTCGCGGGCGACGCAGTGTCAGGTGTCATGAATAAAAAATTAGCCGTTACCCTTTTACGATCGAGCGAGTCTGACGCCGATTCACGATGCAGCAGCCGCGTCAAACTGGTCCGAGCTCGTCGGTTGCTCGTAACAGGCTCTTTATTTTTACCCCCACATGTCCCCGATATCATAGAGAGTCCTCGTAATCGTCGCATCGCACTAAATTCGAATAAGGAAGCGTACCATATACGTTCTTTCGAAATCTATTCCTCGCGTTCGACGATCGTGACGCGATGATATCCAAATCGGGCTCGTAATTACGGCTCGCATGACACGAGTGTCCTTATTTTGGCTCGAGTATGGAGAAGAAATCGATGATTGATATTATTAGAAGTGGAGTAGAAATCGCGACGTGCTTTCTATATTTGCGCCGCGATGAGATTCATCATGTGTCATTAACCGATTAACCGCGAATCGCCATACGCGCTTACGTAAGTCGCGAGAGATGAGTCAGGAGGTGTATAATTGCCAGAAATCATCATTTTCAGCGATCATGTCGCACCGAAGCACACACTTCCAAGCAGGACATATTTAGCGTGCGAGATATAGCTGGATAATATTTCCAATTATAAGACTTGAAATTTACATACATTTCATCAAAGTAGATTTATTATTAAATATATGTAATTTTAATAAAACGCACATAAGGAAAATATTAAGTAACCTGTTTGAGAAACAGGTAAGAAATTGTGAGATAAGTCTTACATTATAGATATTTTAATGATTTTGTGAAAAGGCCGGTAAATGAAAGAAAAAAATTGTTATACATCATAAAAAATAATAATTTATTTAGCATTCAGCGCAGAAATATAAACGTACACTGCTAGTAGTTTTATCTGGTTGAATAAATGTAAATGAAAATTGCATAGCTCAAGAAATTTTGCATCACCGGGTATAGCCAAGCGCAGAACTTGGCACATACGCATGACTCTTTCATTTACATATATAAATCTTCTAAATATTATAAAATACCTATTAATATATCTTTTTTCTAGTCTGAAAACGCATCGAGGGAAAAGAACGATAAAAGTGTTTTAGATTACTCTGTTGCACGATACCGTTTTTTTTTATTCTTGTCTATATCCTATTTCTAACAAGTCTTCTAACTCCTTTTGCCAGATACATTCGAATATACAGTATATTCTTTGCAGTATATTTCTTGTTCTCTTAATTGTTACGATTCGTCGCTAGGAAAAATTTTATCGCTAATCGATATTGAATTCAATTGTCAAAACTAATTCGAAGCGCAGTTTCTTTTTGTTTAAAAACTGAATACTGTCGGTATAAATTAATTGTAAAATAATTCAGTAATTATATTAAAATTAATTAATGTTATCAACGTTTAACAAGATAATGACGTACATGTACGAAAGAGACGAGAAAGAGAAACCGTCGCGCCATATTTTAAAATTTATTGCTCTTTTCAGATAGAAGCTGCATCTCTTGCGGGATGCGAAATCTATATTTCGGTAAACCTATCTATGTGTGTCAAATAATGTTATATAAATATGCGTATGCACAATCAATATATGGGGTACTGCTCATATAGCATTTCACAGACTCAGTTACCGCGCATAATAATACTTACATTTACTGTGTACATATACTTGTATATGATAATAATACGCGTAGCAATTGTGTATATGTATATATGCGCATATAATAAGACTAAAATCTTAATAAGCATTTCCAGTATACATATATCTAACTGCGACGCGTCACTTTTGGCATCGCACAATTCAGATGCAGTCGCTTGTGTATGATAAATCATATAATACTTACAATAAGTCAACAGAATCTACTGTTACGTAATTACAGGCGCGTTACGTCTCGTTTATCGCGAAATTGCACGTTTTTTTCCAAGAGAATTGCTATATCACGTATCATACTGTATCCTACTTCCGTCGTGACACTGAATCCTTATTGCGTAAAATAGTCGGATAGGAACTTAATAAAGAAGGATTACATGCAACCGCGATATCTATTTTATACTATTACAATATTATTTTACATAAATTAAAAAAAAAGAGACGATTAATTTTATGTAAATAAATGAAATAACAATATCTGTTATTGTAAACAATATTTAATTGTTTCTCTATATTTCCCTATATTTTGCATTTCGGTTACGAAATTGCACGTTACTTCTTAAAGTTTATTTTCTAGAAATTATAATAATTAGATGATTTAAAAAGAAATAATTAATTATATAATTTGCCACATATAAATCAGTATAATCGAAGAAATTTTTGCAGCATGTACTTGTAATATATATTAAACCTAGTCAGAGGTACTGAAGAGGAAGCTGAACATAGTTTTGAGTACTTCCTGAGTCAGTCCTAAACGAACATATACGCGCAACATAAACGGTGCAACAAGTGTATTTCGCCGCTATTCTATCTATGTAAATTAGAGCGGTGGGGCACGCGCGATTTTCCCGATACGCCGTGTCGTCGAAAACTCACAAGGAAGATCTCGACAATAACAGAGCTACAAGCTGTCCTCTCAGGAATATGCATCTAAAGTATTCACAGAGCACAAATTAATGACAAAACACGGAGCTCCCAAAAGAAGAATAGATCTACGCGAGACGAATTTTTACAGCTTGCGTATGTCCTTCCAGTATATAGTAGTGGCCTTATTCTTTAATGTAAAGTAGTCTGCTCGGTTTTACCTTGAATACATTCATATTGCTTATGTAAAACGAAATCTATTTTTTTACATTTTATGGAAAGTTATTAATATTTAAGGCGAATATATTCATGTGTAATTTATACATTTCAAATAAGATATTTAAACATTTTATTAAATTTATTATCTCTTTTTAAATATTTAGCTAATTTTTCAAAGACGATTCTAAGACTAATTAAAATCTTTTTTACCAATTGTATCTAGAAGAATAATTTTATTTCAGTCTGTATACAAAGTTAAATCGAAAAGAGAAATTTTATAATATTGGGAAGTCAGGAAATTAGAGTATTTTACGGTTCACAAACCGAACAATTGTCTGGCGGAAAAAAAAACTTCTCTTCTTCCAATCGACGGAATTCGTTCACGGAATAACTAGACCGCGCTATGCAGTTTAAATCACTTGGGATCGAGAAGCGAGGGGTCTGTTTGCTGGGCGATTCACCGCGAATCCTTTCTGAACACATGGAAAATTTGGTCATTGCAAATCCACCATCGCTTTTATCAGGATGCGCGTGATCGGCTTATTGGAAGTGAATTTTGCGCGTGACGTATCTCGTTTATCAAGACACGTAGCGTATAGAGCCGAATGAATAATTCCAACGGATAAATCGAGTCTATAATACTTTAAAGTAAATCTGTTTATCATACTTGAAAATCATTTCCATTAAAATTTTATGTTAACCAAAAATATTCTTAAAGCAGAATATCATCGAAATAAAATTGTTGTGTGTGTGAAATATTTAATTTATTCTGAAAAGTATTTTCATTTTATTTATTGCATGCGATTTATTCTAAAAAAAACGTAAGAATAAAGACAGAATGAAAATAAGGGAAATAGGAAAAAATGTTAAAGTAATTTAATTTTATGGCGAGAAAGTTGCACAAAAAGAATATAAAGAAAGATAACATGTTTAACGTAAATGATTTCGTCTTCAAAATAAGATCCGAATTCAAACATACACAAGACATATGATACGCATTAACAAGCGTAAATTACTCCTTAGCAGGCATTGCATAGCATCATAAATCTATTCTTCGATTGGTGGCAAAAACCAAATCGCAGGGATTTGTATCGACACGCGATATAATTTTTTGGAGACTCGGAGCAACGGCTCATAAAAGAGACTACGTATTACCTATACAGTACAGTAAAATATGAGCTGCGGGGTTTTTGGTTTTGAAACGAAGCAATTAATACCTGAATTTTCCTCGTGACTGGTTACTGCATGTATCTGAAAAAATATAAATTTATTATTATATTATTATATTATTCAAATATATGATATGAGCTGATTTTTCGTTTAATTTGATCGGATTTCAAAATTTTAATTTGACATTCAATAAAAATTGTGAGATATTATAACGTTCAAGATTTCATAGAAAGAATTCGTGAAATATATTTGTTAAAAAATTATATAAACAATGTTTGAAAATTACAAATACTCTTATTCGGATGAATTTGATTAAACAATATCGTTTTACCGACCTGAGCAACGGCCTCCCGTCGCTGAAAGGAACTTTTTTCCGGGTCCGGCAATTTTTCCGATTTCTTGATTTCGCGAGTAAGTTCCTGGCAACCATCGGAATCCCGCGACGGCGGTATTCCGGGGGCTCGCCTCTTTTTCAATGCGTTTGCGTCGTAGTCTGTAACGATCCCTGCGGATTCATTCTCAAAAGTTCCCGGGTGGATCACAGTGAAGCCGCCCTGGAACTGAACCGACTTTTTCGCGCCAATTTTAGCGAGTGGCGCACGTCGATCTCCTATCTCATCGTCGATTACGTGCGAGCCGCTCTTTTTATACTCTTTCGTCACCTTTGATTCTCTCGCCGTTTTACAGATTGAATCGTCGGCAGAATCTTTCGGGACGTTCGTGGCGAACGTCGAAGATTGAATTTGATCAGATGACGTTTTGAGTTTATTGTTTGATTTATATATAACGCTCCTGCCTTTTGTTTCCTTTCCTCCCGTTATTACTTCCGGCTGTGAGTTCCTCGCGGCAACGGTTGGCGCTTGGCTCTTCGTAGACTTACGTTTACTTACTTTCTCTCTATCTTTAATTTTAGAATGTCTCTCGACGGTCGTCGCGTCGCCCCGAATCTCGTAATACTTAACGAAGCTCCTAACTTTACCCGGGGTTATCGTTACAACGTCGCGGGACGATTGGTCGTTACTTACGTTAACTACGGGTGTTACGGCCCTGTTATTGTCATTATTACAAGGGATTACGGAAGTAGTTTTCCTAGCTATGGCACATTTATCGTCGCTACCCATTGTATCGTCTAATAATGCTAATGTCGATCGGTTCGCGACTCTCCTCCGATCATCGTCGGCCTCGCTGACCGCAATTACTTCATCAGTCTTTTCTTTGTCGTGACTGTGAGTCTGTTTTGAAGTTACCTCCCTTTTATTTTCCTGGCTGCGCGACGCAATTGCTTCTCTGCTATCGAAAATCTTATTCATGGTTGCGGGCGCTCCGATGGGAATTCGTTTTTGAAATGTATTCGTCTGCTGCTGCTCGCACTTGGCGCTTTTTTTCTTAAGTATCGCCTTGGGGACGCGAATGTCTCGCAATTTTTTAGAATCTCGTTTAACTTCATCAGCATCTTTTATGCCTTCGAATGTTTCCTCGATTCTCGTTTTCATGCAAATCTCCTCTGATCTGATACTCGAAGTATTTTCGACGACTGTCCTTTTTATAGAATTAGCTTTCGCAGTTTTATTTTTAATGCTACTGGATTTATTCAACGTTACGTCATTATTTTTGTTCTCTATATTTTTCTCATCAGTCGCTGAATTACAAGCGCTATTTTCGACATGCCTTTTCTCGTGGTTTATTTTCGTAAATTCTTCCGTTGCAATTTTTTTAACGATATCATTATTTATACCGCTAATCTTGGAGCTTATAGAAATATCGCGAAGGTCGCTTTCAAATATTTCAAGCGATTTGGAGGGAGATGTTTTCTCCACTTTAGAAATTCCATTATCTGTCGCGATTGAGCGGGCAATATTTTTATCACCGTCTGTCTTTATCTCTGGTTTCTTATTTTCGGGACTCACTATTTTTAGCTTTATATTATTAAAGTTGCAGAGCAACTCGTTCAAAACGTCATTCTTTACGTCACAGGCGTTTTTATTCTCCGATTGCATTGATTTTACGTCAGCGCTTGAAACTTTGACAATTTTTTCTTTCATATTTTCCGAGTCTCTTTTATTCTCCGTGTCTATTTTTGTCGTTTTGTTAGAAAAATCACACAAGTGTACACTTTTTTTTGTGATATCCGATTCTCGAACCTCATTTACTGACTCATTCGGTATATTTAATTCTTCCATGCTTATAGAAGTTATTATGGGTTTAGTAGAAATTGGACAATTTATGGAGGTATCTGTCGAATCATCAGACAACATAGTCTCCAAAAAAGAATTTCGTCTAATCTTTACGGGAACGCCTTTCGCGAAAATCTCTTCCGATGGGGAAGCTTCTTCGCGATTATATTTGCAATCCGCAAAATCGCTTTTTTCTTTATTCTCTTCCGTTGACAATCCTCGAGTTTTTTCGATTTCGAACGATTCGTTTGTGAAATCATTAGTGGCATTACTCGATTTGTCATCGCGATTTAAAAAATTTGGGAGTGATTCATTAAAGAAAATCTTTTCGTTTTTAATATCGCATTCTTCTTTGATATCATCATTTCCTTTCAAAGATACATCTTCTTCCTGGTGTATATTCTCAGTTATTTTCGCCGCGCTTGTTTCTTCATTATTGCAAATTGTTTCTAAGCTTTTATTGGAAAAACGACGAACGCTTTCTACAATTTCTGAAGAAGCATCTAACATTTTACTTTGATCTGTTTGTATTTCCGCGTATTCCTCGTTTATGATAACTTCTTTCGTTATTGCAGTCGTTATATTTTTATTTCTGATTCTGAGATTTTCATTGCTGACGTGCTCGTTCCGCGATATGAAATTAGAATTCTCTTTATGAATCTTCTCGTCATTAATATCGTCATAATAGGTTTGTGGAACTGTCTTTAATCTCGTGTCAACTTTGTTTGTGTCGGTTAGCATAAAGGAATCGTTTTCTCTCGTCGCGGTATTTCCTTTCTCGGTACTCGAAGCGCATAATTTATCTCGCAAATTGTCGCCGCAATCTTTTACGTCCGCAGATTCCTCTCGGATTTCGGTCAAATTTACGAAAGAAGTGACTTGCTCGCTAGTGTTTCCATCGCCAAAAATCGGTTCACAGCTTTGCAAATTATTACACGACATATCGATTTTTACATCATCGCTGTGTTTGGAAGAAGACGCATCGATCTCGAATCGTACCTTTGTGCCTACGTGATAATTATCAGAATTCTCATAATTAGATAAATTTTCAACATTTGTCTGATTGTTTTCATTCTTGTTATTATCGTGTTGGTAATCATCGAATTTCTCTGCGAACTCGTCATTTTCGAAAGAGCCTCTCCATTCATCCAAGCACTTTTCGAATGGAAGATTTGTCGTCGTCACGCGAAAACAGATATCTTCGTCCAATATTTGCGCTTCCGACGATTTTTCCTCGAGGATTGCCGAGGATGTATTTTTATCTCTGTCCCACGTGGCGGACATTACATTTTCGAAATCATGTAGCGTGAAAAAGAGTGGCGGGTATTTGTCGAGTGTTCTTCGCTTAGGCGATGCGATGTCAGAGAAAGATAGAAATCGCGGTTTCAAAGCGGCCGACTTTGCCGGATCCAGGTCGTCGTTTGCTTTGTCGATTCTCGGCGGGATTTCTCTCGTGGATATCGTATCGTCGTCGCGCGATCGTGGGGAGTTCGTTTCGATTATGTCCGTAACGATATCGGCGTTGCAATTTTGGCGATGGAATCGCACGTTGACACTTTCGGTTTTCGAACAGCTCGCCGCGATATCGCGATGTCGATCGCGATTTTCAAATCGAGATTTGTCCCATTGACATTTTTCCGGCAGGGGTTCTTGCCGAGATCCCGCATCGTCTGTCGCTTCCATTGCATCGCTTTTCGCCATCGACGGCGCGATCGGTGCAGATTTATTCTTGCGTTTTGTTCGTCGCGGTGGCACAGGTGGATTTCCGCCATCTATCATGGGAAAAAATTTGGAATTTTAGAAATAGATCGTTTGATTTCGATAAGAGAAACGAAAGATATCTTAACTTTTAATTTATAAATTAAAATATTGAAAATTAATATATATATATTATTATAACGTTTGTTATGATTCTTACAATCATGCATAACGCAAACGAAGATATGAATATATGCTTCACGGACGAATTATTAAATCAAAACGCGAGCGCGAGAGAGTAACCACGACGTCAGGTCGTTCGAGACATACTGAGGATGATTCCTTAGCAATGACATGATAGGCGCCCTCTTCTTTCCACGCAATCAATAACAATATATATAAAGCTTTAATTTTGTAATTGCATTAAACATATAGAAATGAAGAAATATCGCATGATATTGTCAAGAAAATTATTTATTGTTTAAAATATTATAAATAGATCGGTGAAAAAACGTGCTACATTAATTTAAACTTTAGGTTTTTTTTCTTTTCAGTCACTGATTTAAGAGCCAATCATAAAAGAAAGCAATTTACTTTGTGAAATTATTGTGATATATGGAAAATATGTAAAATAAAATTTTTTTTCTTGAAGTATTCGTTCAATATTTTTTATTCAAGAATAGAAAGTGTTCTACGAAGTACTTAATCAATTCTATGCAGGGCTTCATCCGCTAAACGAATAATGGCAATTCGATTATCTGTGACGTCAACTGTTCAATACGGTCGCGTAAATTGTAACATAGAGATAATAGTCTTTTCCGAGCAAATAAAATTTGTCATGAGTTCATTCCATCAATAGTAATAATGTGAAATGTAATAAGTTGTCGAGAAGATTACATGTAAACACAAGATGTGTATGACTTATATTGCTTACCTAAATAAAAACTTGACGGCTTGTTCTACTGACGTCGAAATCTTCTATAGATAGCAACATACTGGCAGATTTTAGCGTATTATTGTCAAAATCAGTCATGTATAAGCTATTAGCATTATTATGATTCCCCATCGCGCTAGACGCGGCACTACTATAAGCACTCGAGGTGTTCTGCACCGATGCTACATCCGTGGTTTTCTGATTGATCCATTTGTTCATCATACTGGACGTTTCCGCCTCTGACGACACGTCGAATTTGATGTCTCTGAGTATTAGAAGGGTAATTTTATAATTAAAAAAAAAATTCTTATTTTTGAAAAGTAATGCAAAAATTATTTAATCCAAGAAAATTAATCACAGTCGGATTGGCAATACAAAACAGTGCATTCTAAACTCTAAAATTAATAAACTAGGTAAACTCGTTTTTGCAAAACAATCTTCATTGTCTTAGTAAATTTTTAAATCTATTAGCTTTAAAGAATACTCACTGTAAGTAACGTTTCCCCACATCAGCTTGATCCTGTTCATCTTTCGATTCCATATTCTTTCGAATAGCGGGTTGCGAAAGGACCAACTCAACCGTTTCAGACGAGCTCTGCAGCATCTTCAGAGCCTCCTCATAGCAAAGATTGAGCAGATTCTGTCCATTTATTGCTACGATCCGGTCACCTATCATGAAAAGTTTAATCAAAAGCTTTACTTTTATATATTTATAATATTTTTTTTTTCAAGTTTAATTTATATATTTATTAATTCTTATATACGTGCTTCTTTCATTTTTACTTTCTAATATTTTCTTTATTATTTGAATTATAATCTTGAATCTCTGCTTTAAAGCAGAATAAGCATTTTAATTCTCTCTTGCGAACCTTTGTTAACATTTCCGGCCATATCAGCTGATCCACCAACAGAGACCGCCTGAACATAAACGCCGCCGTTACCTTCCATCACTTGCAAACCTATGCTGCCACCGTGACCGCGTTCTAACTTGATCGTGCGCAAAACTCGTTCCTCGGCAAACGACAGCTCTTCGAAACGAGCCATTAAGGATGCCGACATTGATTCGTCCTCCGGAACTTGAAAAGTTTCGTCGTCGGTTCGTATATCGGCATCTATCAAGTAAAAGTAAACGGAGTTAAATAAAACATTTTATTTCTTATGATTCTTATATATATAATATAATTTTTGATATATATACGTATATCAAAAATATAAATATATATTTTATATATTATATTTGTGTTAGCTTTGATTGCATTTTATATACCTTATCTAATTATATTATTTAAAATTGTATTTTAATTATTTATACATGTAAAATATATTTTAATTATTTATTACATGGATAAGATATAATTAAATATAATTAATATAATTAATAATTATTGTTTAATAATATAATTAAATTATTATTTACTCAGCACGTATGCTTCTGGCATGGGTGATTCGGTGGATCGCGCCGATATCGATTGAATGGATGATTCGGTGTCGGATTTTAAAGATAGCGATTCCGTGTCGTCGGTAAGCGCGATATCTTTCTGCGCCAAGCTACTGTAGATTGCTCGTGTTCCCATTTTCACGCCCAATCGACGCGGTAAGCTGGGTGTACGAAAACCACCCGACTGTTTTGGCACGCCATAATTCGGTAAACTAGATGTCTTCATCTAGAATATAAAATATCGTATTGAAAAGATACAATCAACGTTTTGAAAATAATTTAAAATCGACAATTTTTAAACAATAAGTTCAGATATTCGAAATAATTATGAAAGAATAATTGATTTATTTATATAATTGAGACACTACCTTTTGCAATGTCTTTCTCACGTCTGATACATTCCAAACTTCATCCGGAACAGGAAACTCGTTCTTGACCGACAGACGAACTTTATTAATGGCAGCGTACAATTCTTCAGGATTGTTAGATTTATCCAGCTGATTGATGCTGTTTGACATGGTTTTCGGAAGCGAATACGTGCATTCGGTTTCAGTTTCGCTGTCTATACGAGAGGAACCGTAGAGTTTATCATCCTTTGATTTCGTTTCTAAGCTCGATTTAGGTTCCAACAAAATTTCGTTCGGAGTCGTTATGCCTCTCTCTGATTCCTCCTCTGTGTCTCGCGATTGACCTTCTGGTTCCAACCGCACATTTACTTGTGCGTAAAGAGCATCATCTTCGGACGAATAAAAGGGTTCACGACTAACGTCTTTTGTTGCCACCACATTAGTGTCCTTTTGAGGATTTTCGTTCTCCTTATTCTGATATTCCTCTAGTTGCATCGGATAATTCATTTTCTTTTGCACCTTGACGGTGTTCGCAATCGCTATTTTAGTTTTGCCATCACTGACTTTGACTTTCAATGGCGATGGCTTAGTTTCCATTGTCAGAGGTACTCCAAAATCTGGAAAACAATGAAGATTGATTTTGTTTGATTTAAAAAAAAAAGATTTTATAAAAAATGTATAGAAGGTTTAAATATTATTTACATTAATTATTTTATTTTATAGAAAGTGACAAATTTGATAAAAATAAATAATTTGAGAAATATTAGTGTGTGTGTATATATATATATATATATATATATATATATATATATATATATATATAAACTTTATTCACTTCACTTTTACAATTAGTCAAGAAGCAGGACTTGGTTTAACAATTTTCTTAACTTCATACATACATACTTGGCTTCCTCATTCACTCTCTATCTCGTATACTTATACATCTATCCTACAGTCTAATTATCTTATCTAATCACAGCCTATATTCCAGACTTTTTCAAAAAACTTTAAACTTTAACATTTCACTCCTCTAAAATATACCTAATTCTCTTCTCCTTTTTTCTTTCTCTCCATCATTTTCTTTAATTTTTCTTTCTAGAATTTCCACAATATTTTCCTTTTTTACATCATCTAAAACTTCATTTCTTATTCTCTTTATCTTATTCTCCTTCGTAATTCCTAATGAGAAATATTAGTAGTATGAACTAAAATATTAAAATTATATTTTACTTTAATTTTTTTTACATTTGTCAGCATGATTATTGAGTTTAGTTTTCTCGGATATTTATGTTTCGAAAAGATTTTCGTAAGAGAGGAAAATCAAAATTTCCTTTGCTCATGCGATAAAGTGTTATAATTTAGATTAGCTAGTTGAAACTCTTACGTAACTTTCGCAAAAGTTTAAATTCTAAGCATTTCGGTAAATTTAACCGTTATGAAAGAGCGTGTGAATGTATACATATGTACCTTTAGCAAGGCCTTGAAGCGACGTAAGCTCCGAACGAAGCCTTAGGAAGAACTGATGATGCAGGGAAGTGAGCTTGAAAGCGAAGTAACTTCTGGAAAATAGAAAGATAACACATTTATGAAACCTATAGGTTGTCACTGCAACTGGCAGTAGGTGAAAATGCATGATGCATATTCGATAGACATTTTCGCGTTCGCTGGCACTTGGTATTAATAGTATTAAATAGATGAATCGTTTAAATCGGGATGGGCTAACTTACTTTCGATGATCCATCCGTAGTTTAAACTTGCATCGTTTTCCATTCAACTTGCTGTAAACTACCAGGCAACTCTTGCTGTAACTCAATGTTTGCACGTCCCTCCACTGAAAGTGAGCCAATTCCGTTCTCTCCCTCGGCTCTCCCCCTCGTTCCAGCAGCTTCAAACCTTGTGCGTGTATCGCCAACCACACGTTGCTCTCCGCTTTCCTCTTGCCAGTCTTGTTCTTATTATTATTGCCGTTAATCCCATTGATATTATTATTATTGTTCTTATTATTGCACATCTCATCGTACAATCTCGGGCCTTTTGTCTGCTCATCCGCGTAAGGAATCATCGCCGCGTTCTCGCGAGAACTTAATCGCGGGATCCCGATGTTGCCGTAAGCAGGACAAGTTTCCTGCTCTTCAGATTTCTTCTGGTGATAAGCGTTTTCCGCGCCGTCGAGCGACGACACGACGTCGCGGTTTTCGGGCACGGTCCTCTTCCCTTTTCTTTGCTGTGCCATTAGTTTCTCGAGCTCCTTCGAGTCCACCGTGGCGATGTAGTAGTGAGAGCCGTAATCCGGCAGGGACTGTGCGTGAGTTATGAACATCTCCTCGGCTTTGTTCGAGTCTAAGCCACGGCGGTCGCGGTGAGCGCGGTGTAGCTGCGCCCGAAGTGTATCGGCGTCGACGCAGGGCTGCGATTGATGCCGGTCTGCGCTCAATATCAAGGACTCGGGCACGTAATGCTCGAGGAGGAAATAATGTCCACAGCCATGCTCCTGTGGAAAATAATTCCGATAAAGCAGAGATATTGTTTGCAAATTTTATTAAAATTGTCGTCTATCGCCCACGAGTCGACACAACTTTCTAATATTATTTCCTCAGATAAAGCATCTGGGATACTTTAAAATCTATCAACAGTTGAATTTTTTTTTTGTACAATAGTGGAATTTATCAAAAATTAGAAAATCCTTTTTTATCAATCTTAAATTTAGGAATTTCTCAATGTTGAAATCATTATAAGATTTCTTAGAATTTATTGTTATTATATTATTATTATTACATGCACAGATTTTTCTTGATGGAACATCCAAGATCTTATAAAGTAGAAATTGCCTTAATTTGTAAGAAACTTCGCCAAGTCATAAATATATTCAATAGGATAATGCAGCTTCTCTAATTTCATTTAATCCCTATTATTTAGAGCTAAACTATCGTTCACGAACATATCACACTGTTCCGTATCGTTGACGGTAATTTCATCTCAAGAATAGCGTGTATCGCATAATCCTTGTTAACTCACGTTGACGTTGTAGTTTCCGAATTCGGCTTGAAGTGCAAGACCTGTCAGATTGATTAATTCGGAATAGGGGCAGACCAGCTGCTGCTCCAATATACATCGTCTTATTTGTAGATATAGTAGATGCTTCGATATCCAGCTTCTGTGAAAGCGATTCGATCAGTTATTTGTAATCGAGATGGAGTAATGTTGTTATTAAAGCTTATTTTCGAGAACGAACCTAATGCCGCGAAGGGATGGTAGGAAGAATCGAAGCCGCAGGTACAGCATGAAACTGGTCGGTAGACCCAGGAGACTTTTGCTCTTGCCGCTACTTAACCATCCCGGTGGTGCAACTTTATTTAATTTCGTGTCGGGTGGTAACATCGCGAAATCCCCGGCCAATAATACGGCCAGACCCAGAGTGAAATTCTCATCTAGACTCTCCGCTTGGACAATAGCCTGAAAAGATATGCATATAACGTGTAAAGTAATATTAATATACACACGAGGTTAACTGATGGCAGATTTACGTTAATTAATGCAGATAAAATATGTTACAGCCACATTGTGTAGTTTAATTTCTTAACATAAATATGACATTTATTTACGTAAATATCCAACATAATAATTTCTGTTAAAATCGATATGCAAATTTATATGGACATTATACTATTTGACATTTTTTAATTCTTATTAGTATTTATATTTTACTTGATATTTATCGTACATTTAATTTATGCAATAAAAGCACAAAATATGCGAAATGAAAAGCTGAGATAATGTTCATAAACTCTAGGATTCCTCGTGGAATTATGATGTGAGACAGGCAATTAAATGCAGAGAGCGGTTGCATTTAATTGTTCTAAAAGTTTATTGTAGCTGTCTACTTTAGCTAAAGTCAAACGGAAGAACGTATACACATAATATATAATGAAAATCAGACTTGGATTTTAATAAGATTAATTAGAATAAGATTTGAATAGAATTAATTAAATTTAGAATAGAATTTAAATAGGATTAATTCAATATAAATAAAATAGAATTTGAATTAGAATATAATTATATTGAGATATCTTGAAGTCAGCGTGGGTCAAAAAAGAATCGAAGAAGAAGAATCATATACTTGTGGCAAAATAAATATTGCAATATACAAAGGATCTGATATGTCCAATATATAAAAAAGTCGATTTAAAACTTCATTAAATACATATAAAAGAAGTTACAATTAGTTAGCGATTTTCTGACGCGCGATACCTATTTTCATCGCAGAGATAATTTTCTATTGACGCGAATTTGCAAGAGTAACCTAATTTGAAAGTTCGCATTGAGTTCTCACTCTCGAGCGTCCCATAAATCGACCACTAAAAACTGCACGCCAAAATACTCCAGTCACGTTCGAAAGCTTGAATTAAGTGGTAGGTATACAAGAAGAAAGAAAAGAGTGAATTTAAGACAGACGCTTGCCTTTCTGAAGTATCGAACTCCAAATGGTATTAAATTAATTCGCTCTATCGTGCCTTCTACTTTAATATCTTCACTAACAAAGGTTTCTACAAGCATTTTATACCTTCCTTTACAATTTTACAGATCGTTACTTTTAGTCTTCTAATCATACATGAGTGAATAAATTTTTATTTTTAATTATAACGATTTTATTTTAATTTATTGATATATAATTTAATTAATATACTGATACAAAAATAATCTTTGGTAATTCCTGCGATTCTTTCATTGTATTACATTAGTATTATAAGTAAACGTTTATATTGTTGGACTTAAGTATTGGAAAGAATAGATTTTTTTGAAACAAGAAGGAATCGCGATATATAATCATTGTTGAGATCACATAACTCGTGGTTTATGGATGTATCGTATATAATGATTAGGCTTGGCGGCTCGCCAGAACTTCTCGCAAGTTCACGCCGGAATTTGTGGTCTCGTAAACAATCGGCCATGTCTTGGCTTTCGCGGCCCAAGCGTGGTTTTGAGAGGCCACTACTACGCGAGTATTACGATCGAATCAGTTTCTTTCGAGAACTAACGGATGAAACATTTTTAAAGGATTTCTGTCACGCAGAGATAGAGTATATTTTTTCATACGCGCAGTAAATAAAAGCATATAATTTCTTCGCGAAGGAATCTCCAGACATCATATATCTCACTTACAGATGATATAATTTATTAGCGTCGAAAGGAATCGTTTCAGTGGAAATTTTTACGAAGTGGAAAAGTTTCACGTGGATAGAATAATGCATTTAAAGAGAAAATCGAAGAGAATGATTACTTGTAATACTTTAATTAATTTTGTTACTTTATTGAAAATGTTTATTACATTGATAAATTGATTGGAATGTATATTAAAATATTTCTTTATTATCTTCAAAATAACATGTTATGTATCAATTTTGCAACGCGAAAATAATAATTATTAGTGACATGATACATATGCATATACTGATTTGCAAATAAACGAATGCATTGCGAATACTTATCAATGAAATATTAATCTTATTACAAATGAAAAATAATAATTAAATATATGTTTGATTTTATTCTTAGATTTTTTATAATCTTTTTTTTATCATTTATTATTGACATTTCTATTAATTATATTACGGTATTATCAAATTCAATATTAATACTGATCATATGACAAAATGCTTCTTTTGATAGAATGACTTTAATTCATTAAGATGTAATTGGTCGATGAATTGAAGCTCTTATCGGTGACGGACACTCTCTGCAGCGAATCTTCGATAGCTTGCAGTTTTGATTCAATTTTAATCAATCTTCTTAAGAATGTGATATGCGACACAGTCGATCTTTAAATTTAAGGGAATATTTTCTGCTTAGAGAAATTTTGAATTAAAAATCTTTATGGAAACATATCATCTCATCAATTTCGATGTATTAAAAATTATTTTTTTATTTTATTATTTTATTTTATTTTTTTGTTTATTTTTAAATGCCTTATTTCTGTCAAGGATTCATCTGTCAGGAATCATTTAATAATTATCGAAAAAAAATGAAATATTTGGAAATAATTGGATTCATTTTGAAAGCTTACCTGGAATAAATCTCCAGCGGTGACTTTTTGAGGATCGCAGGTTACCTCCACGCGTTGTCCTGTCAGCATTATTACGACTATCCGGCCAGAACTGCCCGCCTACATCAAACGCGTTATTAATTTATTATTATTGCATTATTTTGATCTTTTACTTTATCTCTTTTCAGTGCAGTTTTATATGTTGATATATAGATACATTTATTTTTATTTGCTATAGTTATATTTCGTATAGTTATATTTATTATATTTTCTTATAGTTTATTATATTTTCCTGTAGTTATATTTATTTCCTTCATTATTTATAAAAGAAATATCAAAATTTATGGCATAAAATTATTAACTTTGAAAATTACTTTGGATGACAGATTTTTATCTAATTATTCATCTTAATATTAATGTTTATTCACTTTATATAAATTTATTTTATTATATAAATTTTATTTTTGGAATAAAAAATGCAACAATTTTAAATATATATTTTGAAATGTACGTATTAATCAACGTTGTCATGTATAAAGTTACGTATACAGGAAGGACCAAACGTGATCCGGTATGGTCTAGTGGCTAGGATACCTGGCTTTCACCCAGGAGGCTCGGGTTCGATTCCCGGTACCGGAATCCTTTTTAGACTTAGCTTTACCGGTATATAACTTTAAGTATACGCTTAAAAGCACAGGTTATCGTAATCCGGTATGGTCTAGTGGCTAGGATACCTGGCTTTCACCCAGGAGGCTCGGGTTCGATTCCCGGTACCGGAAATTTTTTTTTTCTGTTTTAAATTTAATAAAAATGAAGAAGCTTATTGTTAGACATATTGCAAAAATATTATAATAAAACTGGAAAAGAAATAAATTTAAAAGAAATAAATTTTTAAAATGTTTGTTATTTTTTTCCATGTATAATATAGTAAAAATTAATTACAATAATAAATTAAGATACATATAATTTGCTAAATTTTTTTAAATATATATTTCAAGAATTTGAATAATGTTGTATCTTGTTAATGAAAATGTTATTTCTATTTATGAAAATGATATTTCTCTTTTGATGTTTTCTTTCATAATTTAATATTTTTAATATTTATTTATTTTAATATTTTGTTGAAAATTAATATATATTGTTACTATATAGATATAAATAATATATTATTATTAAGTTCAAGTTGATCTCTACCAGCAACATGTTCATATTGGAACTTTAGCCTCCTGATACTCGATCCGGTATGGTCTAGTGGCTAGGATACCTGGCTTTCACCCAGGAGGCTCGGGTTCGATTCCCGGTACCGGAATTTTTTTTTGTCGCCATAAATATTTTTATATATGTGCATTATATATTAATAATTTATATATTAATAATTTTTTTTATAATGTATTAGTTAACTTTTGCATCAATATTTATGAATTATCAAATTAATGTTTTTGTATGCACTCTAAAATTTAATATATAAAAAAATATACATGTCTAAATCAAATAATGATTTGTCATTTATAAATTTTTTATATGTTTATATTCATTGAAATTTAATTCTTTTATCGAAATTTAGTTTTTTATTATATATAAATCTTTGTTTCTCTGAATAATTTAAATATTAAATCATTGTACATATTAATTATTAAAGAGATATTTATTTCAAAAATATGTAATGTACTTTTAATATTTTTTTAAAGAACAAGTACTATTATTTTTGATTTTTACATGTCATCATCGTTTGTATTACAGTTAATATCACCTCCGGTATGGTCTAGTGGCTAGGATACCTGGCTCTCACCCAGGAGGCTCGGGTTCGATTCCCGGTACCGGAAAATCTTTTGCAAATTTATATTTTTGTGGATATTTGTAAATATGTTTTGTTTTTTAATTCTCTTTCTTCATTAAATATTGATATAAATTTATATAATATTTATATATTTAATGAAATGAATGCACAAAATTAGATAAAGGTGATGAGATGTGATATGGACATGGATACAACATCCGGTATGGTCTAGTGGCTAGGATACCTGGCTCTCACCCAGGAGGCTCGGGTTCGATTCCCGGTACCGGAAATTATTTTTGTTTACAGTTTTCATGTGAATTTTTTTTACAAAATACTATTTATAAAAAAATTGCTCGATTAATTATTTCTTTTTTATAAACGATTTCTTTTGAAAATAACAGTATGATTATATGAGCAGTCATGCGTGAAATTTTGAACATTTTTACTACAAATGTTTTATATAATCGTTTATATAATTTTGATAATTTTAAATAAATAAAAAATTAAAAATAAAAGCTAAAAATGTGTGTATCAACAAGTGAAAGTTCTAAATCATCTAACATTTTATTTCTAATTATTTGCTTTTATCTTCATACCTTAACTTGACCCACGCTGAGTGTTTTCGGAGGCTGATTGGCACGAACGACAAATTCAGGACCTACACATTGTGCTTTATTGAAACATCTCATGGGTCCACCAACCGTTCTATATAGGCGCGATGGAGCCCTTTGCACTGCTCTTCCTCGCCGAGCTCTTGGCCCATTTTTCACCATAATTCTGAAACAATATTTTCACACAATTTTCTCAAATTATTAACAGATAAACTGTTTTTATTATAAAAACGTAGAAGTTAAGAAAAACGTAGTAAAGTGTGTATAAAGCTGGTTAAAGAGATTGAACTCGCGGTTTGTTTTTTCGATTAGATTAGATTATTAGTATGGATTGAGTCCAGTAGAATTTTTCATTCGGCATAACAGATGTCCGTGATATACTTAATTATACAGCGGACCGAAACGCTTATAGCAAAATTTCGCAGAGACGTGGAACGCGATATGCTATATGCAGCGATGTTAACTCTCGTGCCGAGTTTAATTAAAGTTTAACTAGGGTAGACTCCGGATGCTTTTTTAGAGCAGTCATCGCTAAGTGCTTTCTTGTTTCGTCTCTCTTTCTTTACCTGTTCTCTCTTCTCTCCATCTTTTACCGTTCGTATTAATTTGGCATGAGAAGAATGAGACGTCACAGATATGATAAAGAGAGTCACGGATTCTCCCGAGGCCGAATCAATTTTTACGATATGCATTAAGGATATAATACCCATTAGAGAAAGTAATAAAGATCCATGGAAGACATAAAAAGAGTGCAAAAGAATACATTTGCATTCGTTTGTATTTTTAAAAGATGAGCAGATTGGATTAAAACTAAAATTTTTTACAAGGCAATATAAGTTATTACTAATAGAGAAGTTATTACTAATTTTAAAAATTAAATGTAATTTGAAAACAGTTTAATATTTGTTAAAAGATACATTTATTATTAAAAATCAATTTTTAAAAGTTGAATAGTTTTTATAGAAAGAATTTTTTTAAAGCTGTTTAAATTTTACTTTGAAGTATTTCGAGCAGCAAGAAGCAACATTTATATTTTACGGATATTTCCGGGATTGAATTCCAATGAAAATGATTATTTTATGTCGGATTTACCGGCTTTTGAGTCACAAAGGCAATTTTAATTTAACTATTGATTACAATTTAATTTCTAGATATAACAACAATTGGTATCAATTTACCGGTTAACTATCTACTTTTTTCTTCTATTTTTGCTCGACTAAATGTCATCGTAAAATCTAGTGCTTCGCAATTTTCGCGAAGGTCAAAGGTTCGCCGTCACGCGCCACGTTTCGACCTTTCCACGGTTAACGTGGAGGCGGAATAGGCGACCAGCACGCATTAGCTTGCAACTGGCTGCATCATCCAGTTGATTTCACGCAGTCCGGACATATTCTGTGCGCTTCGAAACCACCGATAGTTGCGTTAGAGAAGGGCCGATGTTTCTCTGCGAGAGCGAACCCGGTTCGCTCGAAAGCATTTATTAACACGAACATATGACTGAGAGGCAAAACTTAATAATGCGGGTCGTACGCGAACATCTCAGAACTGTTTAACGTTCCCCTTGTGCTCTAATTTAATACCTACTCTCGTCGCAAGATTGATGAAATTCCAGCAGGGAAAGTATGAAAATTTTGGGAGAAATAAATATAAATTTTCAGATTCTTCGATTAGTAACTTAACATTACACAATATTGCGAATTCGCTTGCTTTCCTCGATACTGCTATGCATAGGAGTGTTGCTTTAAGAGAGCTTTGAAATTTCGAGAGCTGACTTCTCTACTTTTTTATTTAGAGAAATACTGTTTGACTAAATAAAAGGGAAATTTAATTAAGAGAAGGAAGTAATACTAAGAAACGCTTTTTTATTTTTTTATTTTCTCCTCGTTTCGAACGAAATTGATTATTGATTGAAATTGTATTCGAATAGAAAATTAACGACTTGTAACGATCAGGAAGTAGTACAAATTACTACGGAAATGCACATTTTCTTATAAAGCAATAACGATGCAATTCATTACTTCAGTCTCTGAAAGATAATTTATTTTGTTCTTTCTTTTATCCTGATTTAGAGTCATTTAATAAATTATAATAGATTTACGCGCAAATAATTGATTACGTAAATATAAGATAATTGATAACGTAAATAAACAAATAGAAAAAATTACCTGGGAGGTTTTGCCGGCGGTTCTGTCTGGCTGTTACACTCTGAGTCGGAGAAAGCGGCTCTTCTTAGGGTGGTGATAATTCGAGGTGGTTTCGGGGGTCCTTGAATTCTCCTGAGCCTCGTGGAAGACACATTTTGTTGTCGAATCATTTGTTCTTCCTTTTGCGCGACGCATCGAGATTCAGTGATCGCGACGCTTGGTTGCGACAATCGTTTGAAATCATCGTCAACTTGCGTTCTATTAGGAAGCTGCGGATTCGAATGTTGCCTTTGTAGGGCCATTTTTCTGGTAGATGTGCAATCATAAATATCCTCGTGAAGGCGTTCGTTTGGTTGCGAGATTATGTCAGGCTGAGAGCGACCGGTGTTTGAAGGATGCCTGTTAATTTTTACATTTCGAAATGAAAAAAAAACATTGTATAGAATAAATTAAAGATAAATAAATAATTCATTTGATTTCTTTTCATTATCAGTGAAATTATGTTTTAGAAATAAAAATTTTATCAATATGTAATTACATAATATATTATAGTTATTTATTACTTAAACTAAAATAAAATAAAAATTTACTTATTTTATTTACTTTTAACATATGAAATGATATTAATTAGGATAGATATTTGAATTTGATTTTAAAATTGTAGATATTTTTTTTTTGATATTAAGTATTAATTTCTGTACGAATATATTTTTTAATACATCTTTGATCTAAAAATTTACAATGAAGAGAAAATTATAAATTATATAACAAATCAAATTATATATATATATATATATATATATATATATACATGATTAATTTCTTGTTTAAAAATGGGCAAGCAGGCATGATGTCTGTACCTGTTTATCGATGATCCATCGTGAATATCGTCGCCACGACGGATCGCTTTCGCCATTAATCCGTTGACCCGCACATCCTGGGAGCTCAGGAAGGGCTTAACCGGCAGGGCATATATTGGGTCGTTGTAAATATTTTTGTCAGGATTACTCTCGACTGTCGCGTTGGTTGTCGTCGGTAGATTGCCGCTGCTTCTGGTGTGCTGAGGCAGTGTGTAAACCGGCTGTGAATACGTTCTCGAGTGATGATGAATCCGACGTTGATGATGAGTCGTCGCCGGTCCTATCGATCGACTACCGCTTTGAATATCCACTTGTGATTGAAACTGCGTTCTGCAGACATTCATAGTGGTAACTTCTCCATACTGTTGCTGCGAGCCGCATAAGCTTGATAGATTAGGATGCGACAAGGAATTGCGCGATTGCGCCCTGAAATTCGCTCCCTTCGTATAATGGTGATGATGATTGTGACGATGATCCTGCGAGTACTGGGTATAATTTTGCTGCTGTTGAAGCGAGCGAAATTGGTTGACCGGAAATTGAACGTGATCTTGTTGTTGTTGCTGCTGCCGCTGTTGAATAGTCAGCTGATCTGATAAATGTCCGACACGAAGCTGATGTTGAAAAGATGACAGTTGGACGTGGTCCTGCTGCCGTTGCGGATGATAATGGCCGTAGATTTTCTCATGAGTCGATGGATCGATGATGTTTCGTGAAGGACACAAAACATTCATCTGATAGTAAGCTGCTCGCTTTCGCGCGGCATATTGCGGTGATCTTACAACTTCTCGATACATCTCCATCACTATATGCGTAAAAGGTCTTGCTTGTAGACGCGTCCGGCAATATTCGGATATTACCTGCGAAATAGAAAGCATGATATGTTGTTCATTCACACATATGAATATTTTGACGAATTTTATTATATTTTATTATATTTAATATCTGATACGGAAACAAAGTTTTTTCCCGTCATCACATATACAATAATTAATATAATAAACTATAACTGTTTTATAATATTATGTAATTAGAGGAATGCATTCAAAAACACAAAAGTATGATATTTTTATACCAATAATTAAAATGAGAAATATTAGTACTATTTTGCAACTTTTTACATATCTATATGTTTATCTGATATAGATATATATAATATGTCAGTTAAATGTTCAAGTTCATAGTAATCATCGCGGACATAATACGATTTATCGTGCTACCTAGCGAACCGATTATCTAGTTTTGAAACTCGCATTGTGCAGTAGACGAATTATTAGTTTGAAGGAACAACAATAGCTTTAATCGAAATTCTATAGACCCAGCGAGCTGAGATCCACAGGAGGAAATTTATTAATTACTTATTATCGCTTTATTGTATTCTCAGTGATGATAATCAACACTTTTATACGCTTTTGATTAAGATTCTTAAGAAACAATAATAAAAAAATATTCTTTCGCGCGCGGAAATTTTATATTAATTGTTGAGAAAAATATAAAGAATAATGTATATGAAGGATTAATCAAAATGTCACTTTTTTATTCATCGTGATATTATTGCTCATAACTTAAATAATTAATTTTAATTGGTTCAATATACATGTAGTTTCGTTTCACATGTAATTCGCTTTGTCTTCAAAATGTTGGACAATTTCACGAATCTTTTTTTCAGTTTTTATATCATCATTTTTATAATAGATAAAAATTAAGATTCTCTTTTAAATTAATAAAAAAAATAAGTTTTGCAAATTATTTAATTAATAAGAAATCAATTCCAGTCACGTTGCGGCGTCGAATAATGTATATGAAGAATTAATTAAAATGTCGCTTTTTTATTTATCGTGATATTATTGCTCGTAACTTAAACAATTAATTTTAATTGGTCCAATATACATGTAGTTTCGTAATTCGCTATTGTCTCCAAAATGTTAAATAATTTCACGAATCTTCTTTTCTGTTTTTTATCATCATTTTCATAATAGATAAAACGATTCTCTTTTATAATAAATTACTAAAAAAATAATTTCTGCAAATGATTTAATTAAAATAAATAAAAAATCTATTTCAGTCATGTCGCGGCGTTGAATAATATAATGATGAAGTTTCAAGTAAAACATATAATTCAAGCGAGTATTGTGTGAGATAACGTTAAATCAATCAGAGAACTTAATACAAAAGTACTCCGAAGCTCCGAGTACAATAAGATCGAAATGCAGCGTTTTATTCTTCTCTGATGGAAATTTCTCGACATGTCAAGGTAACGAACAGAGAGACACAGCGCGACATTGATTCGCCGTTCCATTACATTCCATTCCCGATTCAGAAGTAAGCGGGATGTAAGGCAAGAGCAATACAGTCGCGTAAACTATTATTCTTAACAAATAACACGGCAGATGGTGCACCGGTGGCTATCAGTTTGTTCCCGGGAGCTGCATAAACCGACTGGGAAGTCTGTGCGAAGTCTCCATCGGGGGACTGCTTTATCCGTGCGGATATAGATACGGCCAAGGCAAAGTAGGTACTCGGAGCGGGGGATAATTTATTGGTCGCCGAGGAATCCTCGATAGAAATTGCGGTTCCGTATTACGCCGCATGCCGCGTGCCCTCGCCCTTCCCCTCCTGCTCACCAGCGAGATTTCATCAATTTTGGGAGTTATCGGGGTTAAGGATGCAGAATTATCGCTGCCCGAGACGCGACACGACTTATAGCCCGCTTCGTTCGTCGCGATAACGCCGTTTTTGAGATTGCCCGCCGTTAATCATCGGGCTCGGCGAAATTATCGTAGCTATATGGATGCACATGCCATTCCTATGCAATTTCATCGCCGTCCGGGACCGTTGCTCGTCGTGCCTCGTCCGGCCGCGCTAAATCCCCTGAAAAGCCCCGGAATCGCGCGCGAACCGGTCCGCGAATTTATTCCTCGTAATGTCGCGGCACTTCCGCGCCTAATGACGTCCTGCGGCTGCATAAAGTAATCTCCCGAGAGCGAGATTTGGACCCGCGACTTAGCTCGCGCAGATTTATCGCTCCGCCGCGCTTAAATTGCAAAGGCGTTTTAATCTTTATTCTTGTCTCTCGTATAATCACCATGCTATTATTTATTCAGGCTATTGTCAGATTTGCGTTTACGTATTTATAGAGATTTTTCGATCGATATTTTCAAGTCGAAAATCGAACATTATCACGATTTTTTCTCACGATTCTTCTCCTTTACACATTATCTCGTTCGCAAATGTAAGTTCGAAAATGTAAGTCATCCGGGTGGAGAGAGAAAAATCGATTTCATCCTAAATCTTCGCACGTCCTAAGACTAAGATTGGCTGATAAATTTCGGAAGCGTCGCATTATTCGCGTGCTCCGCATCCGTGTGAAAACGCGACGTGCTGCAAACATCGTAACGCACGACCGCATTCTCTATCACGCAATCTGTTTGTCCTAATATTTACACGCGAGAGAAGTCTGTATTATACGCGTATTTCTCATATATCCAATCTGTTTGCTGTTTTGATGAAAATCATTTAATCGTACGCGGAGGCGTTGTAAATCGATTAAATTCATCTTGCCACTTGTATCCCTTGCAAATGCCACGATATCCGATAAACAGATAGAAAATCGCTCGTGTATGTTACATATTAAACTCTTGTGATGTGCGTAACGAAATTGTGATATTGCAAATTGTCACGTTGATATCGCACCTGGAAAATAACGTAACGATTTAATTTTAGTACGTAAATAAGATAGAGAGAGAGAGGAGCCAGAGCTTTAATTAATATTAATCTCATGTTGTTTATTGCACGAGTAGATGTGGATAATCAAAAATTAATTAAATGCGATTTAATATCGATCGAATTTTAAACATTTTATACACTTATACATTTAAACATTTTATACATTTAAATATTTTATTTACCTTATAAATTATAAATTTATAACATTTATTTGCTTATAAATTATAAGCAATTATATAAAATATATATGCAATGCTAGAAACTATTGAGATTAAATTAATATCGTAAAATCAAATATTTAATATTTTGTTATATAAATATGTCACGCATCGAATATGCGATTGATCTCTAATTTTACAATCAAATATTACATTTGTACAACAATGTAAAGTATTTTTCATCATTTATGTTATTTTTATTATTTTTTTATGTAGCACCCTTCAAACATCCTTTACCGCAACTCATCGAGCAATTATTTGTGGTTACCGGTTGTCGAAGGCAGTCCGAATATTGACTCAATTGATTTTCAATTCGTATTCAAATCAATATATGTATACGTATATATTATAGAGAGAAAAATAATAATATATAGAATGTCTCGTGCACATTCCATTCTTTATTTTCTCGGCAATTTATTTACTTTTTAATGAAAATTACTCTTTCTTAGAAAGAAAAGGAAAAAATGCAATTTCATTAGACGTAATTACACAACTTTTTAATCATCGACATTGAATATCTTGATAAATAAAAAGTTAATATTTCGTTAAAGCAAAGTTCCTCAAATCATTTAAAAATCTTAAACTTTAGCAATGGTTGGATCTTTACATATTAGATTCATGTTTATTTTGATTTTTTATTTTAATGTTATATATGAAAGAATATAATTAAGCTGCAGTGATTTTATTAAACCCTTCGTATAATTAATTAAATTTCATTATGTGTGCTTGAATCAAATGTTAAATATTGTTTCTCTCGTTCATACTCAATCTTCGAATTTCACTTGAAGGTAAGTACATCGCGTTGTATGTTTCGGTATCTCTTGTTATGCAAATCATCGACACCTGCCTCGAGTGTTGTCTCGTCGCACAAATGTCGCGCAGCATGCTCGCCTTCTCCGTGATGGGTAATTCAATTAAAGCAAGCTTCTATGCAGACCGATGGTGGATACCCAAGGGTCATATGGTGTCGTGGCTATTAAGTCTACGTGGTTTATCGATTAATCTCCTATGGAGATATTATTGAAGACATAATTCACGTGCGCGCACAGTGTTTGAATGAAATTATTTTGAAAAAGAGAATTCATAATCTCGATTATACTCAATTGTATACGTGCATATATATATCATACACCGTACATGTAATTTATATTTTTTGATTTTTAAATAAATTTAAGATTTCAATATTTTTAAACATACCATATCTGTCTTGTTTTTAAAAATTTTAATAAATTTTAATTATTGCATGTATTACAAAAGATGCATTTGACACATTAGCATACAATTTATATGATTTATACAAAGTAGCAACAGTCCTTACGCTTGTAGTTCATATAATCACGAAGGTACGCAAACATATTAAAGCATCGAGCTAACTGCATTTACCGCAATGTCTAGTTACAGTTACAAGTTAAGAGTCGAATCGTAGCTCTGATATACTGCGTGAGGTAATTCGAAATTTCAGAGCTACGTACTATTAACAATTAATTGCTTTATTATTCTGGCTCGATCTCTGGAGATGCGCGCCATGCGCTTCCCATCATGCACCTCCCGAATATATGCAGCTGCTTGCACGAGCACGTCCGCGACGTTGAATTACTCACCGTTCGTAACCGTGATGTGAAAATTAATTTTCCTACGTGCTACTATACTTGGGATTAGGTATTGTTAGCCGTGAGTTGTCAAGATTGGAACCGCAACGATACATAAGGTGCGATGTATTTTAATACGATTCGTCATACTTACGTAATTATTTTTTAAATATATCATAGTCAGTATTTAGATTAATTTATTTAATTTAATAATAGAAGAAGGCAAAATTTTAAATTTCCATTTTCGGCACCTCTTCGTTAATATATTCATTGCTACTTGTTAATATTCTTCGTAATTATTGTATAAATATGAAATAATTTTTTTACATCCTCGAATAAAATATATTTCAATAAATAAAAGCGCAATTACATATTAAATTGAAATAAATTATGGAATGATACAAAGAATACAAGATTTTGCTTTATTATCACAAGTAAAATCTATTTATATTGAACATACATATCTGATTACAGACATAGCAAGTAGCTAGAAATAGAATGATAAAATCGAAAGATTGAAAGAGAATTGAAAAAAAATATTTCGCGAAAAAAAGGTACGGAAAATGATTTTACGCATAATTACAGTACGAATGAAATATCGAATGTTGAATTCGCAATAGGCGATTCTCGTTGATTTATTTCGAACAGTCGATATAGTGCTCGTACAACACGTGGAATAAACTTCGAAATTTCGAGTTATCCACCCTCACGGCAAAATTGGTCGACCTTTTATTATAGTAGATTGTACATTGCTCCGCACAATGCTCTCCAGTTATGTAACGCGAACGTTGTGTGCGTGCGCGTGAGCATTCGCATTGATGATAAATGAATCGAGTACGACAGCTTTTTGAAAAGTGCAAACAAAATGCATTGAACGCACTTATAAATAAATATTACATCGAAAAAAAACTGGTAAAAGTGCAACAGTATCGTGTCGGGACAAGAAACTTATGTCGGATAGAGAGAGAAAGAGAACGCGTTAAAATTTAAAAACTTACGTCGAGTAGATTCATCAAAGAGGCACGTCTGCGAGGATCAGGCTCCGTCATAGCGGCCAACACTGATTGCAAAGCGGAAGAAGGCGAAACAGAAACGGTCCCCGTTAATGCCGCTATTCTAGGGGTCGTGTCAAGTAACGCTCTTCCTAAAGAATACATCCACATCTGTAATCAAAATAAGACTAATTAGTATAGATTAAGAGAGACATTAAATAGTTAATAAAGATATTAAATATGAATATTAATGAAATATGCAGTATAAACAATTAATTAATTATCAATTTTTTTCGAGCAACAAATTTGAAATACTTTATTTATATAAGGCAGCGTTAAATAGAAATACATCTCTGCTAGATTTATAAATTTATGATGTGTGTATATTTTAAAATATACATTTGCGGATGGAAATTTTTACATCGTTGGTGGATAAATAAAGCGAATGATTACCTTGAGAAAAGCGTTAAATGATGAAAAATATTTTCCCTGAATTTTGTTAAGCAATAATTTTGTTAATTTTTTAATAAATCTCGAAACTTGTAGTTTGCAATTTCTAAGCAAAGATCTATAGACTGATAAATAAAATATCATGTCGGAGAGACGCATGGTAATCTTTCTTGTATCGGCTAAGCTGTATCGCCTGTCGAAGAATAATACATCAATCTCGAGTCAAGTTTTTCTATCGAAAGAGGATTTTTAATAATCAGATTTATTTTTATAAGAGAAAACACACGTATATGTAAACATCCATCCACTCACCCACGCATCTAGATACATCAAGGATTATATAGATTCGAGAATATCAGTTATCGATATTTTTTTAAAAGCTGAGAAAACAATGTTGTTTAATAATACCTTTACCTAGATGGTATTACGAAATATCGATTATCGATTATGTGAATTTTATTGCCTTTTATTGCACTTGGAAAATAAGCATCGATGAAATTTCATATTTTCACCTTGCAGAATAAATACAATAGAATAAATATTTATACACGATATTAAAAAATTCTCACGATGAGAAAAGTTGCATTGATGCAAAACTTTTGATCAGGTAAGATTCTAAACACTATATTATAGTGCTTAGTTTTAATTACTTTAGATAATATGTACTTAATTTTTTAATATAAATATTCGCCAATATTTTATACGTCAAAAACACGAGATCTTCATGAATTTAAACTACATTGACTTCAAGTTGCGGCCGTAGCTTTCTCGTTTATTTACGAGAACAGGAAGCAACGGTAACCACGTTGCATATATATAGGTTACAATACCTGTGCGACTCTCACCATGTACTACAGTGTCACAGAGATCATTCTAACAACTCGCTTGTGCATCGTGTCATGTGGTGAAAAATGTAAGAGCGACAAGCATCGGGAAAAGCAGCGCTTTTTCGCGTTCGTTTAGTGTTGGTACAGGTAATCGTTGTTGTGTATTGCCGTGCTGTAGCCATTGCTGACAAGTATTTCGTATTCTCCGGAAAAGTGGAAACGCAATGTGAATGTAGAAATGAAAGGACCCTCCTATCAATGATAGATATAAAATAGTTTGGCAAAAGCCAAATAAGTTAACATTAATATTAATCGAAAAATATTTGTACGAAAGATTTATTCTTTGAGAAATTTTGAAAAATATTTTTGCAAATATTTTTGAATAGATTTACGACATTCTGTAGCTCACATAGAAAATAAGTACACAAATAATAAAAATGTATAATTTAATTCTATATGTATAGTATAATTATCCAATTAAATTTATTTGGAATTTCTTTTTTAATCATAAATTTTTCTTATTTATATCTTATATTGTCATAAACAACGAGAAATTATGAAATGTCTGAGTCATAAATTCGTGTCTTGTTTCGTGTCTTTTGCCTGAGTCAAAGTCCGCTACCATTTTTCATAATATCGTCTAAAATTGGAACAGGTACAAGAAAGTTATACGAATCACTACGTCGCCCTTTCCTTTTTATTTTATTTTATTATAAAAGTTTGTAGGAAAAAAGACATTTCTTTCCGCGCTTTTTAATTGCGAGTTCAAATTAATCGTCTCTCGCATAAATCTTGTAGAAATCTTCTCTTACAGTCTTTACATTGAAGAAGTATTGCTAAATGTCCAACTGTTAATTATTTCCAAGTCAATAGTGTAATAAAATTAATTATATTTTTTTCCACGTGTAATGAAATCCTTCTTTCTTCGCTAAAATCTTGTCGCGATGAAACAGAATTCTCGATCATTTCTCGATATCATGTTTTAAAACATTGTTAATAGAGATGCATCAATTTATTCGATTGAAATTGAATATTACATTTTGATATTGGCTTGAATAGCGAGTACGAACAGAGGGAAAACAGATTGGAATTATTATATATTAAATTCTAATGAGTTTTATTGAAGGAACTTCCGTATTTTTGCATTTAATCAGTATCGCATTTTCAATATAATATTCTTTTGCATTACGTGCAAGCGGAATATAAGTATTCTTTATTCAAATTTTTTTTTCACATTTTTTTATATTTTCTATGCCTATACCGTGAATTTTAATTTACGAATAATAAAATATGAAATGCAGAAATTAATAATATTTAGATTTTTTATTATTAGATATTAAATGCAGATATTAAATAATAAAACAAGAGTCATCTAAACTTTTCACAATTTCTTGTAAAAGATTTTATAGCTAAAACATTGAATCGTTAAAATAGCCTCTAAACAGCCTCTATATTATCATTGAATCTTTATAAATATCGAAGATTTTATTTCAATGTTACATCGATATAGTTGCAGATTGGGAAATGTTGTCGCGTAAATTACCATCGCTTTTGTTGGCGTGATTAACGAGCGATACGGATATAACAGGCTGCATCAGGGTTGCGTGCTTCCCGCAAGGGCTTATCTTTTCGTTACGGGGGCGAGACAGAGGAGGAAGAGGGAAGGAAGAGAAGCTTCGAAATCGATGATATAAAAGAACGATGCGCCGAAGTTTATTTATCGTGCGCGCCGTTTGTTCTCCCTTTAATCTGCACGAGATAAATACCGGTCTGTGTTGAAACAACGAAGCTCTAGCCGGCCATCAGCGGGAAGAAAGAATGGCGCTGAGGGATGAAAGGGGGATGAATGGGATCGCGGCGGGATATGGAGAAAATGGAGAGAGCGAAAAATTTCAAGGGACGCGCCGACAAAAATACGAGAGGAGACATAGAAACGACTCTAGGATTTTTTTGATAAAAGTACTAAAAAAAACTGGCTTCGGTCTCTGCGCCCCTCTTCGTTCCTCGAATCTTTCAAACAGTCGGTCTCGTACAACGACGAGGTTCCGTTAAAAATTCAACTCGTGCTGAAACGCGAGTGTCGAGCAAATAAAAAATCCTCGGACCGTCAAAGGACGAGCATGGCAGCTTAATCCTCTTCGCGCTGAAAGGATTTTAATAGAACGCGTTCTTAATTCCCTACGTTTCGCTCTTTTAATTATACCATCAACCTTACGGTAAATACCAGGACTATTTATATGTGCGTGTATAATTCTCACCGACTGGAAAAACAGAGCTGTTTCTGATAAATTCTGTATTTTGCTCGGTCTTTTCTATATGCATATATCTCACAATACGTAATTATTCAATTCATTGATTATTTATTTTTATCCATGTAATTTTATAAGCGTTAGAAATCACATTATATAATTATTTGGAAGCTACAGGCATTTTGCAAATTCGAATAGCAATATGCATTATAAACTGGACCGATCGGGAAGTGCGAAAAGCTTAAGAGAAAAATAAAGAAGAAATAAATTTTGAAATTTATGTCATATAATCATTTTCAACATACTGTTTAATTAATTAGTAGGATTAGTAAACGTTGGCCATTATTTATTGGAACGGCAGATGTAAAGTAAATATCAAAATACCACGCTTAATCGCCATTTCTTTCACCAAGTGACGGACATTGATTGGGACGCAATTTATTATTGAAAAATTCGTTATTAATGACGCGTCATTAAGCGCTGCGTTGCGAATAACGTACTTTTTCCGAATCCGTGTCCGAATAAATCCGACCGGGTCGATATTCTGGTGGTAGATACGCGCGAGCAGTCTCTGGCGGTGCAAGCTGCAGCAAAACCCTACCACGTGGTGTCAATTCCAGTGTATGCGGAGTCACAACTGGTCCTGCTCTCGAACCACCTACCACGCCTCCATCTGGAACAAATATTAATGAGAAATATGAGATTGTCAAATATATAAATTACTACCACTTGAAACTCTTTCACCTGTACAATGACATGAGCAATGTTTAAAGATAACAATAAAGAGTATATTTTTATATTTTTAAGAGGCGAGAGATCCATATTTGAGAATATAATTTTTTGTAAATTTTTTATATTTAAACAGAAAAAAAGAAATAAAATTTTTTAAACATTTATAAGACAACGAACAGAAGATTAAAGAAGAAAGTCATGTAATTTTCAAAAATTGTCTTCTATTACATGACAATTTGGCATCCTTGTCAGTCGTTTTAATATGTTGTATAATCATGATTTGTCGCTCGAAACCACAATCGATCATACTCATGCCAAACTACTTATGGAGAATTAAAGTTATAATTAATTCTTCGATAGTTAGCTTATAGAAGCGACCGACAGGCTTAAAGGAAATTGGTCACAGGTGCGTGAGGATCTTCTACTCGACAAGAGGGTTTTCCGGAAATTACTCGGTTTATTTATCGCGATCGCGTACATTGTTACCGTCCAGAATCATTTATTATCGTTTGTAATGCGTTGCGTACTTTTTAACATCCGCGAACTGTCAAGGTCTTATGGAATTATGTGAATGCTTGGGATATAATTGGGGGGAAATCGCATTGTGTCGAAAAAGATTGAGGAAACCTTCACGATTTCTTCTTCTCCTATAAATCTCGTCTTCTTCTGCAAACTTCTAATCGTATTTTCTTCAATCGCGCGCGTCTGTAGTTGCTCCAGTATCAGCCAAGACGGCGAGTCGTCAATCTTTTCAACATTTTCCTATCGTGGTAATAACCGTGATTGAGTTTTTATCGCAGTTTCTGTATTACATTACGGACGTATACAGAAGAGCATCGACTTTAAAATATTACTCCGTAATCATTTTATGAGAACATCAGATTTTACTTGAGCGTTACTTTCTTTTTGCGTCTTAATAAACTAAGTTAAGTCATCACATTTCCCATGCGGACATTCCGTCGTTTTTGTTTAATAGCAAACAGACTAGGCACAAATGCTGGGTCATCTATTATACCGTTCTCATTATAAATCCCGTATAATTTGCCATTGGGGTGCTAATTCTGCACGTGTCACGAACATTAACAGCCTAATGGTGGGCTAAAGCGCCTTGACACGGAGAATATTGTCCCCCGAGTACGCCCCGGTAATTTAGGCAAGCGCTTTCACCGACAAATTCTTCCCCTTCTGCCTTTGCTAAAAGCGCCAAGGAAATTAGCGAGAACTAGCGTGTGAGATTCGACACAAATAATTAAGACTGAGCGCATTTATGCGGATTCTTAAATCAATTGTGCTATTTTATCTACAAAAATCTGAAATATTTATGTAAATTATAAGTTGCAATTCGTTTTTTGTCCGTATTTATTGTAATCAGTGATACGAATCGCGATTTCTAATTCTAGTAGTTAATCTCTATGGACGATCGGACAGATCTCTCCGTGTAAATTAGAAAGCAGAAATGTCGAACCGAACGCTCCCGAGCGATAAACTATTTCCGTTCTTCGAAGATTTAAGCCCTAAGGAAATTAGGTGGATCCGAACGGACCTACCGACATGTTTACTGATAAATCTCGACTAATCCCTAAATGAGGAGAGACGACTCACGTAATTACATCGTCCGATCATATTTCAAAGTTAGACTAGAATCCATTTATGTGTACAAATATATATAAATCATTAAAATCAATACAATCAAAATATATTTAAATTTATTAAAATAAAATTATCTAGAAAAAAATATAAATATATTATATTGTAATACATTATAAATTATAAATACATTCTATATTTGCTTTATAATTAAATATAAGCGGACTAGTGCCAATTACGTTGTTGCAAATTTAGTATGGTTATTTTTGAAAATATGCATTACCATTTGCATACTGAACACGTTAATTATCGATGCCATTTGCATTTCGTCGGTAGGAAGAAATTTACCGGATAAACCGTACAACGTTACCGAGCATTTGCGTCATCTATCACTGTCCCTTTTTCACCGGCGTTATTTCATTTGATGTTGGACCAGTAGTCGATCTCTGTAAACGATCGGACACGGTCAGACGGCGCAGTCCGATCGCTGACGATAAAACAAAGACGCGACTTACTGTTCTGTAGAATACGAGAGTCGCCGAAACTAATGGCACGGCGATTTATTTGCTGTAAACAATGTATGTAACAACGGAACGTTACTTTGCCGCTTGCAGAATATTCCGTCCGGAAAGTTGACGGACAAAATTCGCTCGACACAAAAATTGCAATTGCGAAATTTAATATCAAGATAGAAAATTGCGTAATAATTTTTCAAGAGACAATGCAAAATAATTTTATTTATATATATATTAGATTTTCTTAAATATATTTTTTATATTTACTATTTAATTATGAGAATTAATATTTTTCTTTTGTATAAACATATTTTATTATGTTTGACATTAAAATATATTTATTGTGAATAATAAAATTTTACTGTTTCCTTTAATTAGTAACTTGTTTCAAAGATGCAAATAAATATTTTAGGTGGCATTAACATTAATTACTTTCGGCTAATTATTGTAACTGCTTCGTTAATATGAAGTGAACATACGTTAATGCATATAACTGTAAACATGTTTACGAAATCTTCATACGTGATTGATGATCGTACCTATACTCCAAACATTAGGTTGCTCTTTCTACATGCCATTATATCTTTCGCGTTCTCTTCACGCCGCAAAAGGTCGAAGCAGATCTCGAGTTACATCGCATTGTATCTGTCTTCCATCGATCTTCGTTCAGGCAATAATGGGAAATGGCGTGGGCATTCCCAAGCTTTTAGTTTAAAAATGGAAATTCCCCTTTAAACATTTATATTTTTTTTTTCAGAATCGCCAAAGTAGTTAATCTAGCTGTCTACGTAAATAAGTTTAGTATTTCTATAATTTATGGAATGAATAGGAATGAATAGAATGAATAGAAGTAAAAAGGAAAATATAAGTTGACATGTTCTGATTTTATTTTGCGAAAATCAAACTAAAGTCTAATTTTTGAAAATAAGATATAATTAATAAAACAAAATTCTTAATCAAAAATTATGAATATTTAATTTTGAATTATTCTATCAAAATAATTTTTTCTGATTTCTTCGGGATTTTATCATACTCATGTTTTTCGATATTCCTCAATTATTAGCACCGAGTTATATGTGTAACAAAAAGCCAGAAAGAATATATGTGCACATATGGGAGTTGCTTTCTTTTTTTCTTCGGCTCTGTTAATAATTATATATATATGAACATATTTCAAAACAAGTTTTTTTATTTTTCTGATTAATATAACTAATGTTTCAAATATTTAATTTTACTGAATAACTGTATGAAATAGATTTTGGCTGCTTCAGTCAAATTGAATATTAAGAGCTTTGTAGTTTCTAGTACGTGCCAAGACAAAGAAGCACATAAAGAGAATGCGAATATTTAAGGAAGTCAGAGAGAAATCTAATACAATACATGTATGTTCGATTCAATATAATTCCAGTTGGATTGATATGTAGATCACTTTCTTTTTAACAGTTGAATGAATTTTGAGATTTTCTTTATTATTATGTACAAGATAGCTTGCTAACATACTTTAGCGACAGATTTTTCTTAATTAATTTAGAACAAACTCCTTAATTGCCAATAGTTTTTAAATGTACTATAAATGACAGAAAACAAATGATCTTTACTAAGTTTTGGAAGAAATAAAGATAAAATAAAAGTAAATAAAGATAAAGATAAGATAAAGTAAAGAAAGAGACAGAAGAAACATCTCCATCGAATTTTAAATTAACTTTGGATTTTCTCACAGATTGATATAATTTCAAAATTTTACATATAAAAATATTTAATGTTGGAAGTAATAAAATAGCTTTTATTTTTTATTATAACACAAATCTATTTAAAATTCAGCATGAATGTTATTAAAATTTAATGCTGTATAATTATCGTTTATAACTAAAGCATCACTTTACCTATGAATATTATTTCTCAAAGCAAACATAATATTTCTCTTGGAGTTACTGTCGCGGTATTTTCGCTTTTAATCTGCGAAGGAACGTTTAAAGGGTTTTCCAAGCAGACGAGCGTAAGCGGCAAGAGTTAGACGGTCGTCTCTTTGTGGATAGATAATGAGAGACAAAGATAGATGAGATAGAACGGAGGAAACTTCATATGTCGGGATTATCGGGATACTCGTCCTTCATCTCTCGTTTATTCGTGGTGGATGACCTCGATACTGTTTGATATCGTCGTTTTGAATGACTGATTCAACTTGTCACAGTGATTCAAATGTCGATTTCCAATGTCGATTTTCATTCGCTGAACTGTCTTCGTTTCAAGCAAGGATAGAAAATCAATACTCCAGTTTCTTTCAGGCTTATTATATTTACTGCTAGAAGATAAACGATTACATACATTAAAAGAATTAAAAAATGGATATACATTATTTTTAACAATTTATTACTGTTTTAGTTTTGCACATGTATAGAATATTATTAAACATATTGAAATATTATTTTCGGTATATATTTTTAAATAATCTTCTATAATTAAACATTGATTATATTTTTTTAGTTTTTTAAATATAATTTATCATTTTATCTATTTGCCTTTTTTTCAAACTGTCGAACGACTATTATTTTTTTTACGATTTAATAATATTATTGAGCGATGCAATAACTTCAGCTGAAAAAATAACGTATCAGTGATGTAGCGTTTGCAGTTGACTAATTAAAAATCGATTACTTGCAATGGGCATTTTGATTCGCGATAAATAACCACGATGGATAGAACCAAAATAATTTTCAAGATAAATGAGATTTAATTGTATATTTTACATAGTTATGATTAAATAACCTAAATCAATAATGACTGTTTTTTGCCGCGTTTATAGAATTTAAAATATATCCTTTTCTATAACATATCATTT